AATGATAAAATCAATTGGTAGAGTAAAGTGGATAGAAAGAAGCATTGGTGACTCTTCATGTAAATCCTTGAAAGATGCAAACAAATCAAGCTCTTGGAATATCATTGTTGCTAGTTGAAAGTCATTAATGGGAACAATTTCACCGGGCAACACTTTTAGCACTATTTCAAAGCTGTTAGGTAGTAACGTACTCATCTCTAAAGGCTCATTTGATTTAATACTAGTTGCTGGATTTTCCATCTTGTTAGGCTCCACAACAAAAAAATTGTTTGGATATTCACTTTTTAATTTAGCCTCTGGACAAGTAAGTAGCGTAGTTGCTTGGGATTGTATTGATTCTTCTACTTGATTTCCTTCATCTTGAATTATTCGATCAGTTGTTGCTTTGGGCTGCCTTTGATGAATCTTCTTTAGCTGCACAGTAGAATCTAAATAACTTTGAGTTTTACCCCTTTGTAAAGAAGAAACCCTTGATATACCTACTTGGTGAAGGAAATTTAGGTATATCTCCGTACCAAGTGTCACTTAGAATGCATGCTCTAAGTTGTATAGTGGCTGCCCAAGTATTTTTGCCTTTATATTTGCTCTTAAACCAGCCTTGAATCGAGCAATTAATTGACAAGGTTCTTCTACGATATGGTTTTTAAACATTAGGTCTTCAAATCTTTGAATATACTCTATAACAGATAGGTTACCTTGTTGCAGATTAATAAGTTGTTTGCACAACTTGTTACTATAGTTTGAGGGCATATACTTCTGTTGAAGCTTAGTTTTCATCTTTTGCCATGTGTTTGTAGGAGGTTGTCCCAATTTTCTTATATCTCCTTCAACACCAAACTACCAAATTTTTGCCAAGCCTACAAGTTTCATCTTGGCAAGCCTTACTCTCCTCTCATCTGAGAAATTATACCTAACAAAATAGTTCTCTATAGAAACAAGCCAACTAGAGAATATTGTAGAATCATCCCTTCCATCAAAATCTTGGATCTCCATCATCATATATCAATATTTAAGCCGCATAACATAGGATTTTTCGGCTCTGATACCAAATTGATGTAGGACAACTTTGTAAAATAAAAAAATAAGGACTGTTTAGGGGTTGTTCAGGGACTGTAAATAGTAATGGGGCTGTGAACAGTAAGTTTGGTTAGGAATCACTCCTAGGGTTTCGTAGGCATCACACCCAGGATTAGAATTGCATCACACAGTTCAAGAAACATGTAATTGCTCAAAATTCTGAATATCTCTCTCCATTTATTATTAAAAGTAACACCAACTATATATAGAGTTCTAAGTAATTCTAATCCCAAAAGATTAGGATTCCAAAGTCTCTAGAACTTCAAAAACACTAGGTTCCTACAAATTAGAAAACTAAAATTAATTAGAACTAGGACTTTAAATTCTAGAATATTCAATACTAGAATTTGACCCAAAAATATGACCTATTTCAGAAATTCCAAAAATTCCAAAAATACCCCTGACACTAAAAATATTAAAAGGACATATAAAATATTAATACTAGCAAATTGACTTAAAATAAGAATGCAAGGTTCCATATGGATCTTTGTTTTGATGGAAAGTCAATTCCATTATCTTTCACATCTTCGAATTTGTGTTTCCTTGAACCTCTTATGGATTGCATCACATCCCCAATACCTCTTGTTAATAAATCTTCTTGAAGCTTGTAAAACAACTAATGGCATAACCGTTGCATGGTTAGACCTATATGATCGACTTTGGAAGACGAGGCAAAAGGCCAAGACTTTCTGAAGTAAAAAGAAAAATGTACATGGCAGACTATCCTTAACTTTTATAATTTATTGTTTAGAAAGTATTTGGTGGAATGTTAGTAGGAGAGTAGTTTTGGAATTGGTAGAAGACTATAGTTTATGCTTCTTGTTTTTGTTTCTTTACCATCATTGGAGTTGGACGGCTTGTCTACTTTTGTTTGGTTCTTGCAATACTTTCATTTCTATTATTAATAATATTGACGGTCTCTTATCGAAAAAAAAAAAATGGTAGGAGACCGGGTCTATAAATAATCTTACCAGATTGTGAATCAAGTGTTTCTTGGCTTTATTCTTGTGGGGATATGATAATCTCATTCCATTTGTTCTTTTCCTTCCCTCCTTGCATCAACAACATAAGGCAAAACAATATGTGACTAGTCGGGAGGTTGGAAATAGTGTTTTTTAATTAGAGCATCTTCCCCCTTAGGAAGGAAATTGGCTTTTCATCCTTTAAGCCTCTTTTTTAATTTCTCAGCCATCAAAATCCCACAAGGAAATGGTTGTGCATGAAGGGCTAAGAGGAAGGCCTAGATAGGTAATAGGGAGGTTCCCCTGCACACTCTAGGACAACAGTCAATGAATCAATGCTCTCCACATACCCAATTGAATAGCTCTCTCTTCCCAACATTAACCTTCAAACAAAACTCAACTCAATAACAAGGAACAAACTTCTCAAATATAGCATATATGCTAAGAAGCACAAATGGGGGATCGGTTATGATACGATATGGCAAAAATTAAAAAAATAGGATACAAATATGGCCAAAATATTCTATAAAAATATATATTTTATATTTTTATTATTGTTTGACATCTTCATAATTATAATTTTCGGTAGATTCTTTAATAACAACACAAAATGTTAATTATTTTCACTTTTAAAGAAGTATAAATTGTCTCGTTATGGTATATCCACAAAGTAAACGTGAATAATCAAAAAAATCAAATCCGACATTTTACTATTTGCTTTGCTTAGAATTACTTTCTGCCAAGAGAAATGGTGAAATTAATACATTTTGTGCTATTGTGACGTATGATAGTAGATAATACAAAAGAAACACTCATGTATCTTTAAAGTTATATGAATTTTTCTATATGTGTTGCATTGTAAGTGAATTGGAGAGGAAATGGTAAATATTAAGACAATACATTCTATATATTGCTTTGCAATTCAAAATCCGAAGCATATTTATTTTGGATGCGTATCCGCAATGTATCCAAATGTTTTATTTATTATTGGATACGTGTAGGGTGTATCTGATATGGATCATCGAGAATCCGACAAGTATCGTATCCGTAATGTCATCAACAAAGAACTAATACTTGAATTGTTCATTCATTAATTTGTCGTCTTGTAGTTGGTTGAATTGGTGGAAGGGCTTTGGAGAGATAAAGTTGGTGAATTATGCATTTTGATTGATTGTTGAATATGACTATTTTGCATACATTTGTTTATCTAAGGGGGTTGTGCGTCAAATTGAGGGGTGTAAAACATGAATCGATTAATTAATTGACAAATGAATGAATTAGGTTATTAATTGGGCATAATTTCTGCAAAAACGAATGCTTAAGACCTATTAACCCTACTCTAGGTCAACCTAGGCAGACTCCACGTCTTTAGCAAACATTTTGGGGCGATCCAACTCGCACTCTCAATTGGTATCAAGGCATCAGTACCCCGAGAAGACTTTGTATGTATTTCTGAGAGTTTTGACCTAGTTTGTGTTTGCTTGAGGTTCTTCATAACAACCAGTTGTTATTGATGGATACCCAATGAGAAGGTGGCTCAACATCGGGACCTCTTTTGTTTGATGGAATCAACTATGTCTATTGAGAGGCTAGAATGAGAGCATTCTTTAAGTTCATACATGAGTATAAGTGTTGACCACTCAATGGGGATGGAAACCTCCTATCGAGACCACTGAGGCAGGTGAGACTGTCAAAAACCTGTTAACAAATAGACAAGGATGATTGGGGTGAGTGTTAGGAACTCGAAATGATCGAATGTGATATTCAATGTCATGTCTGCAAATGAGTTCCAGAGAATCTGTACGTGTGAGACTTCCAAAGAAGCATGAGGCGAAAAGTCTTATTTGTGACACCCATATAGTTTGTGTCTGACACACCATAGTGCTTGTCTTGCCATTGATCATTCTTCTTTGAAGCCGCAAAATGAGAGTGAGGTAATAAGGATCCCTCAGTGGCAGCAGGCCATGTCTGAGGAATTGCCAGTCTTGCAGAAGACGTCGTTCATTACCTTATCAGATATAGAGGAGTTCCAAACCACTTCCGGACGGAAAGACCAATATTGAGGGAAATTCAGACTCACTTTTGGTTGCGATTCTGGGAAGACTTTTATTCCTTCGTTCCCATTCATTCCCACTCGAATTAAAGGATCAGGCTTGTGGTAGTCTTCTGTGGGATCAGTTCCATCTCTTTCTTTCCTCCGTGCATCTAACTCCTCAGAAATTCTGTGGAGTTCCATAGTATTGTTCTCTTGAGTTAGAGAGGAGTTTGCTGACCAGGCCCTCCTTCCTCCTCTATTTCTATTTTATTCACTAGTTCTAAGGTTGCCATTTCTACTTACTGTTTTTCCCAATTTATTAGAGTATAGGTGATGCCAAATATTGGTTGAGCTCGGGGAATCGGAAATAGACGCATACGAAGGAGAATTCACCCTATATAGAGGCCTTTTTAGAGGTTTCCCATGGGGGAACAAGTGTTGTAAAGAAGTCCAAACGTCGAAGGTTGATTTCTCAATATGAGGCACTTAGGATGAAGCAAAGTGAGACCTTCACTAAATTCTATGCACGACTTGGTGACATAGTAAATTCATCTTTCCCCCTACAAAGAAGTATGATGATATGGTCTAGCTGTGGAAGATATTGAGATATCTACCGGAGAGATTTCAGCCTAAGGTCACCACCATAAAGATAGCAAAGAAACCTTACAGAGTTTGGGCGATGAGTTTGGATATCGGGAAGTGATCCAAGAGTGTATCTATCGCCTCCTTTGATAGATCTCATTGTTTTAATTAAAATGTTGCATGAGGTAGAACAGTACGGCCAAAACCTAATTTGACATTTTATATAATTTCCCAAATTTCAGATCCTAATTTAGGTTATGGTTTTTGTAATGAGTGATATCCTATGTTTCCCACAGAGAAGAACTTACCAATGCCATGTTGTATGCTTGTTTTTTTCTGACAAGATGCGAATGTTATTTGTTTAATTTACAGGATATAAGAAAATTTTTCACTAAACACATGGTCAATGAGAATCTGGGTACGATCTGCCATGCTCATGTGGTTCACGCTGACCTCAGTGAATATGGAGCATTGGACGAGAAGTGCATCAAATTGGCAGAGCTTGCTGCCACAGCAGTTGATTTCCCCAAAACTGGAAAGATTGTCACCATGCCATTTGAACTCAAACCGAAAATGTTTCCCGACTTTATGGAGAAAGAGGAATTTCAGTCATACAAGTCGGAAAAAATTTTGGGCAAGCTATTCCGCCAAGTCATAGATGCTAATGACAAAGATGTGGTAGCTTCTGAGCTAAAATTTGTTCCTCAAGACATTCTTTATGATGCAGACCTTCATATCCCCGGATCCACAAATTTCATTACTGATGCGTGGAGCCATAAGTGCTCTTATGATGGGCGGCTAAATGGACTTCTGGGACTGTATAAAGTGCGCAGAGAGGAAGAGATTGTGACTGGGCACATTTGGTCCCTGCCAAAGTATAGTAGCAACAAGCAAGGGCAGCTGAAAGAGAGACTCAAACATGCTTACAGTGCCCTCAGGAAAGAGTTCAGGAAAGTTTTTGAGAAAATGGACTCAGATTTCGAACAACTTTCTGATGACGAGAAGAATGCCATTTATGAACAAAAGGCATCAGCATGGTATCAAGTCACTTATCATTCTTGTTGGGTGAAGAAGTCAATGGAGTTGCAAGAGCCAGATGGGGATGTGGAGACAGTAATGTTGAGCTTTGCTTGGATAGCAGTTGATTACCTTGCTCGGATCAAAATTAGGTGTGGCGGAGATGGAAATGCTGACCTCACTAAGCCAATCAATGCTTTTGCGAGGTACGTTGCTGATCGGATATGACGGATAATCAAAGCTGTTTGAAGTTTTCTTCTATCGTTGCTTCAAACTTTTCTGGACACGACGTTATGGTTGCTTTTGAACTTTCTGGCCTCAAGGCCACTCTGCCATGTTCTGTTATTGCCCTTGCCTCTTTATGCTTGTAGTGTTTTGCCTATTCATGCTATAAACTATGTATCTGTATTGTTATAAACATAATGTTGAAAATGCTGTACTTTTGCTTGCATTTTTTGGCTTGAATATCGTTAGCATTAACTTGTAAATTTATTTTCAATTTGTGGCAACTGGTGCTTGAATATGGGAGTATTTGAATGAGTTTCACAATCAAATACAACACCATTGAAATCCAAAATGAGACAGCTGCTCAGTGAATGGTGTTTTGTTGGGTTCTTTCGTTCATGAAGGTATTAATGAGTGAGAGACTCACTTGTATACAATGGGTTTTACTTAAATGCATGATTGATAATATTTTAAAAAAATAAAATTTGAAGAGAAAGTGTACTGAAGCGGATCTCATTCTATGAAAATATCCCAAATTCCCATTAGGATTAGGAGGGGACATTGCGCTACCGAAAAAAATTTGATACTGTTTATTATTTTTTTACTTGATTCACGTACCATTTTTTAGACTCATTTATTATATTTTTGGGTGAATTTTATCATTTTTTTTATAGAAAAAAACTAGTTACTTTTTGAAGTTTTTTCTCTTTTCGCTGTAGTACCAAAAAATAAAATTGTAGTACCATAACATTTCCTTGGAAAATGATATGGATAGTCTTCTTATGTCATGTTTAGGAAATGGTGTTCCCACAACCCCATCATCTTTACAATTCATTCACTCGTCGGTATAATACCGAAAAATGATGGGTGGATACCATTTTATTACTCCATGAGTAATTTTACTGTACCTTTTTTTTATTTATTATAAATGGCGTTCCCAAACCCATAAAGACATTATAAAAATATAACTCATAAAACCAGTCAAGGTGTTTCTTAAGCATCTGATTTCAGATGCTTAATTTAAGAATGGTGTTTCTTATTTATTTATTTTTTGTTTATATAATCAATTTTCATATTCTAGTGAAAGCAAATCAAGCTTGATTTTACCAAAACCCGAGTTCGAACCTTAGCGTCGAAAAATACCATAAGAATCGATTCAGTGGCGAAGTTAGAAATATATTCTAGGGTGAACACATTCTAACTATAAGTTTTAATTTGTCTTCTAATAGGCAAAAATAATTTGATATATTTTTATTTTTTTTCATCATATTTAATAATTAAAGATTGATTAAACATAGATGAACCAAAAGCAAATATACAATAACTATGCAAACCAAAAAAAAAAAAAATGAAAAGAGGTTAATTATAACCCTTTACAAAAAATAAGGTTGATTATATAAGATATGTGATCAAATATCATTGACAAAGTTATAACTAGTAATATCAATACCAAGTTTGAAAGTTGCGGTGTGTGACACTTTACTGATTACTAGTGCTTTCTTTGTTTTTTTTTTGATAAATTGCGCTTTCTTTGTTTTAGTGTTTTTATGGAGAACTTGAAAATGTAGAGCTAGTTGTGTGTATGTTATTGTTACACTGTTCTCGATACACTGTTATTGATATACTATTATAATAGTGTGTAAATTCACTATCCATTAAATATTAGGTAGTTTTCAAGTGGACAAATAAAATATCCCAAATTCATTGTAGACCAAAATTACACAATTCCTCATATTTATTGTTTTCATATTAAGCCATGACAAGCTTTTAAAGGTCGGAGGTTGCACCAAGTCAGCTACCAAACCTACTCTAGCTTTGTGTATATACACTTCCTAACATGTGCTATTTAATACTTGAATTACCATAGCAATCTGTGTGTGACCACAAATAAAACTCTTTGGAGATGTGCCATTTTGGTCATTTGGCTGGAAACAATTACAAGAACTTTTGAGACTATGTTTGGAGAAAGATATTGTTACACTGTTCACTGTCATTGATACACTCTTCCAATAGTGTATAAATTCACTTTACAGTGCCAATGTGGGTTGCATATAGGGTAATCTATCAAATGTTGGACCAAAAAAAAAGCATATAATTTAAAATGTGAAAACGTCACTAAAACAAACAAGCCCAAAAAAGATTGTAAAAACAAATTGTACTAAACTTAAAACAATGAATAATGTCATTAAATAATAGCATTACTAAGTTTACAACGGCTCGTTTCAAGATTTCTAGTTGTGACTGTCTAAGCACCCACACCGGCCACAATGAATTCGTCTAATGAGTTTCCCCCCGAATTTTGCTATTCTTTGGTCTACCAGGTTGCTTCTTTGAATATGGAGGCAAAATATTAATATCTCCTTGCGAACTTTCAACACAATATATAGTTGAGATTGGAAAAATAGGTTCAGAATATGAGTTCTGGCATGTGCTCACATGATAGTAGTAATCAACAAATTCAAACATATTCCGCCCCACTCTTTCGTATTGCCGACACAACATGTGAACAAGGAAACCCATTTATTTGCTATTGACAATATGAACATGTGTCATTCACAATATCAACTATCACCAAAGGATATGCCATCACTTTGTACACTTGGTTATTTGAGACTCGTATAGTCTAGGACCTCCCCTCATCAAATGCAGCTTGTAATCTCGAAGACATATTGGGGCATAAATTCTCATTCCATTGTGAGGCTATTATCATCCTTCGACCAATTTGATCCATTATTTGTCCCCTAATAGTGTCAACCATGCTAGTAATAGGTAAATGCCGAAGTTTCAAAATTCACGCATTAAACGACTTTGCAGTATTAGAACGCATCTCACCGTAACGCTTCCCCATAAAATGAGCATCTGTACAATGTTCAAATGGAAGATTGAACAGGAACCTATCCACATTAGAACTACCTTCATGACGAAACTGTTCAATCTTCTCATTAAAAAACGACTGTGTTGGTGCATAAGCACACTCATGTAGCAAAATCACCATGTGTTCTCGGAATACATTGAAAAAACGAGCACAACTCAGTTTATCCTGCAAATTAGTTTTCAAATGCTACAAGCAAAATGCATGATGAACATTTAGGAAAAATTTTGGCATTGCCTCTAACAGACTCAAGTTACGATCAGATACAAACGTAATAATCTGAGAGTGATCTAATATCTTAGACATCTGTTCTAAAAACCAAAATCGGTTTGATTCATTTTCCGAATCAACCACCGCAAATGCTAAAGGAAACAAACTTGAAATAAACCACATAAATATTCATGAAAATTAAAATAAAAAATAGTATAACTCACATTGTTGCACTGTGTTTAATCACCATTAATAATGTAACAAATACAGTGTAACATAACAATTACATTTTAACATAACCACCCAATTTATCACTCTAAAAACTGTATTAAACTTTACCTTAGTTGCCATCTTTTGCTGTTGTCGATTGAAGATTACGTCTATACATGCCTTTCAAAAATGTGCCATCCAAAAAAGGTATTAGTCGATAATAATTAAACCTTTGAATACAATCCTTAAAATAAACAAACAACCTTTTGAAACGGCTAATATCATGATCACAATTTAACACAATCAGGTTATCTAGATTAGTATAATTTGTTGCATCCACATACCAACATAATTGTTGGTACAATAATGAGTAGTCCCCCAAAAACATACCTTTTGATTTCTCAACTCCTTCCTATGCTTTATTATAAGATATAGTGGCTCCATAATTAGAAAAAAAATTTAGCAACTGCCCCCTGTTGGACGCAATGTGGTATGTCCACGAACACGATGAACCACCAAATTTGCAATCAATTTAGAATTCATCCTCTTGTTATTTGTTGCTTGTAGATCCACACCACATCTGTGTTCGTTGTCCAATTTTCTAATATAAAAAAAAATTAGTAGTTTTCTTTACTGTTGCAATGATATACCACCCACAACTAGAAGAATACTTAAAGAAACACTCAGCTATAACCCTTGATTTATAATTCTTTACATAATTAAATTTTAAACCAGCCTCAATCGAGTATTTGCTAAGTACTTTCCGAAACTGTAACACACCACCTTGAAATTTCTGTCCTACGTGTCGTATTTTATTACTCCACCCAATTGATAGAAGAACTTTCTCATTGTGACCAATAAAACTGGGTAACAAGTCTTCTTTACATTCAACAACATCACATATGTTCACGTCTTGCAATGAATGATTATCACCCACCGACCCGCCCTCAACATCTTCCACAAACACCTTAACTTCAACATAATTTCCTACGAAACTACGTTTCAATTCAATCAAATTATTCAAATCCGTCTCGTTGCACAACATGCAAGTGGGGTGACCAGGTATAAAATATGACAACTGGACTGACAAATTAAACTACTCCTCCAAACTCTCGCAAACTTGACGAAAATTCGATATATTTGAATTAGCACATACTTTGAATACTGAGGTAGCATTACGGTATGTACATAACAGCAACATAGCTATTAAAATAATAGATACATTGAAATAGAAAATAAAAACATATATGCAAGTACATACATCCTTAAAACATATATACATTAACACATTTAAAATGCAAGTGGTTAACATACTAAAGACATGAATTCAAACCTTAATAATGCTGTTATAAAGACAACAACACTTCAAGATTCCAACGTCTGGCCAAAAATATTTTATGTATAGCCAGTCGAAGAAGATGACTATGGTAAAAAAAGGCAGGGATTTGGATAGTCAAAGACAACTTATCTTCAGTCTTCCAACATATAGCTAGTCAAAGAAGACGACTATGGTAAAAAGGGAAGGTTTCAAAATTTAAAATTCAAACACAGTCATATATTCAAATATAAACGGAATATTAAAGTAATCCCATAAAACTAAGCAATGTTTAATGCATAAATATAATTTGAAAATAAAACTACTTTCCAAAAAAATTACGCATAAATTAAGGAGGGATACAAAGGTCAGAAGAAAATATAAAAATTTCAAATATCGTAATTGGAAACAAATAAGTATCAAAATTAAGGATTTTTTAACCCTACATTTTTTTTCTGTGTATTTTTTGATAATTAACTCTAATTTGGTGTACCTCATTCCAATTTTTCCTTAATTGTGCACATTGTCAAGAATTTCCGAAACTGTAACGCACCACCTTGAAATTTCTGTCCTATGTGTCGTATTTCAGTACTCCACCCAATTGTTAGAAGAACTTTTTCATTGTGACCAATAAAACTGGGTAACAAGTCTACTTTACATTCAACA